TATCAGGGCGCTTCAGCTTGTAATTTGGTAGGTGGTAAAAGACATCGAGGCACAGGACACTGTCCGCTTTCGTTGAATAACTAATGCGACAAAACCCTTTCCATAATCCTAAGAAATGTAGAAAAATCAGAGTCCGGTGTATGATTCCAACGACACCATATTATGAATATGAATTGTAAATCGGTATGACAGAATGGTGATCCAGGTGCACAAATACAGTACTGACAGATAAAGGAGTGAGTGAGTATGGTTTTACGCCGCTTTTAGCAATATTCCAGCATTAACACTGCAGGGGACACCAGAAATGTCTTCACACGTTGTACCCATGTGGAGAATCGAACCCGGGTCTTGGGCGTGACGAGCGGACGCTTTAACCATTAGGCTACCCCACCGCCTCGACAGACAAATGACAACATCTGGGACTCGAACCTATAATCGGCTGATCCTGCCACCACAAAGGAGTAACACACAGAAAAGTGAATGCCAGTGCATTTGACTTGTTTTGTTGAACGTCCTAATCAGCACTATTCCAGTCTTATTATTGCGGCCTGTAAATAACAGAATTTAGACTAGACAATCCAGTGATCCATATTGTGAGCACATCGTCCAGGAACGTTCTCAGGCAACAAAGCCACCAAGCCTGATCACGTGGCCCTTTAGTCGATTCTTACGACCAACATGGGTCCAAACCCAGACTTCTCACGTTGCCTATGGCACAGTTGATTAAACCTCAACAAGACACAGGGTGTTGTGGAAAGGTCGGCCTGTCCTATTCCACCATACACGTTCGCGCTTCCTCACAAGCCTGTTGCATTTAGACTTCATCCTATTTAGCTATTTGTATTTAATACAACTGTTTCTATTTCACATCATTTTCGTGTTTGGATTGATAAACTGTTGTTTTTGAGAGTTATCTGAGGTATATTTCATTTTGTGATTGCGTGCAGTTAAGCTACTTTTTAAACTATGAATACACAATGCCAGGTAGAAAGCGGTCAAATGTAACCTACGTTTATAAACTATTTAATACAGACCACACAAACTCCACACAAATGAATTAGATATGAAGAGATCGATGTGGTTTAATTCTAACGAAAAGCAATGTCGTTGTTATATACTCTTATGATTGCCGATCGGCCAGGGAGGTATATTACGTGTACTATATTTGTAATACCTAAACCACATAGCCACCACAACAATGCATGCTGTACATTGCCATTTATAACTAAATCAAGTTAAAAGAGAGTAAAGATTCTGATAACAGTTACCATTAATATAGTCTATTTTCTCTATCTTAATGCTTTTTCCTATCCAAATTTCTGTCTTTTCCCTAAAATCTCCATTAATATAAATTATATTTTTATTTTCGGCAGCGTGATCCCTGTTATTGTGTCTAGACGAATTAGACAGTTTCCGAGTGTTGTGCAGTTGGAATCAAGCCTCCGCTGATCCGTGTAACTAGGTTTAATGCCGTACGATTAATTCTCACATTGGTAACAACACTCCGCCAGAAACATAAACTCCGAATGGTAATGTATTTTGACAGCAGGAAATGGCCATTTAGCCTCCAACACATTATAATTAATGTGCTCCCTTGACAAATGTAACACCATTGGCAAAAGCAACTATCTTTTTCTCTCGAGCCAAAACAATGCTTGGTTAGGTTGCATTATCCTCCTAATTTGACGGGAAATCTTCTGAATGGGGAACCAGCGTTACACAGACCAAGGGGATAGAGACCCAGGAAGCGTCCATTTGACAACATGTAATTAGACGCACACCGGTCCTACGGCGCTTACTTAGCTGGGCGCGATAATTATCAAATATTAGCATAATTTGTTAATTTCTTTGAAAAGAAGATGTAAAGAATTTGTCACCTTGGCGTGTCAGTGACACGATGATTTTATCATTTCGCCATCTTGCTATTCAGGCTTAATGAGCTCAGTACAAATATTGCCTTCTAAATCTGATTGTGTTTGTGGAAACTTTGAATTTATTTTTCCATCTTAAACATGGGAAAATATTGATATCATTATTGCTGCATTTTTACAGAATTAAACGGATGCTTTATAAACTGATAATAATTATACACGCTTGAAAGTATTTTGTTTTTGTATGAACACATTCATATTGATTTGATTAATTTTCAAAATAATATCTATGTCTGAATTGGAAGTGTTCAGTACGTTAACCGTCCTCATATGCTTTATTGTTGGGAATATACCATGAAATACTCATATTAGTCTCATATGTCTTTATATTCAGTATTTGTTCACAATAGAGACTAAATTAAAATTTCAGGTTTCACTGGCTCTCATGAAAACGGCAGGATGAAGATATTAACCATGAGTTCAAATTAAATATTAGTTAAATGTCGGGTTGCAATATTACAATATTGGAGGGTTTGTTTATTTCCGTAGCCATATATACTTTTTAGCTCTCAATAAACAAATTGTAAATCCACATGAATGATCGTGTAACGACTCACTTAACCGAGTCTAATGGATAATTCAATTTAACTGGGTCTAATTTGTAAATTTCATTAATTTGAAGCAGGGTGTAATTATCATCCGAACAATAAGCACGTGCAACTGGCGTTAATTTCAAATACATATGTTTGGTTTTTTTCAAAGGATAGCGGAGCGCGCATCCTAACAATATCCATCAATATATTACAATATCCATTATGAGCCGCCTAACGTGTCTGAGAACAATGTTCCACATTTATTAATTGTAAACTCTGATTTAAAATATTGTAAATTTATATGAGGTTTCGTTACAACAAATTATTTTTATGAGAGCGGTTTCACCTGAAATACAGCGATATTGATATATTCATCCATTTACTATAAAGCATATACCGATATGTATATTATAGACTGCAACAAGGTAAATATCAATCGAACGTTGTTACCGTCAACAGATATCAATCATTCACAGCATTGATATCAAAACCTTAGCTTTAAGGATTTCATTGGGCTATGTTTTACCATTCCAAGATAAACAATTTTTATATTATCTATGTGTGTAGTATTCCTCTTCTTCATAATCACCCCAAACATATTTACCAGGTATAATCGTTAATAACGTTTCCATCAACTGTAAACAAACAAGAAGACGTCCACTTTGGCATACATTACTAGCATTTGTAATTCGGGGTTTTTTCGTTTCAGTATATTTATTTTTGTCGTCTGTTTCCTCAATTATCACATGTCAACTGTTTAATAGTTGGAGGGTATTTACATACTATCTATTATACCCCAAACACTTGTGAGATATTCTATACCCTTCAGAAAATGTCTTCATACCAAGGCCCAGAGGGTGTGTAGCGATACTGTTCTCATATCCGTACTATTCACCTTTACAAATGACTTAGCAGTTAAGCTGTCGACACACACTTGAATGCTTATTGTCAGAGTCTATACTGTATGTATTAAGCGTCCTGTGAGATAAAATATTGGTTGGCTGGTGTTTTTTATGACAAAAATTGTCTATGGTTAGTTTACAAGGACGCTTAAATGTGAAGAATGTTGTGAGACCGATGCAATTCCTGGACATGTTCTCTTCTATGTACAGCTGCTGTTTACTTATGATCACTAACATTCATACAATTCCTGGATGTACTCGTAAATACAATATAGCATACAAATTGTAAAACCAAATAAGACAACACGTATAGTTACAATGTGCTTTCATAATGTGGTGAATTAAATTAACCTCATATTGCATAAATAAGCCAAAATAATATTCAGAAACTGAAACCTTTATAACCTTTTAAACTGTTTGATAAATAATATATTTTGTTGATCGTATATGATATTAGCACAGGAGACACAGAGCATCATCATTATGCGCATAACAGGATCGACCATGATGAAACAATGATAGTTTACTTTGGCTGAAAAGCATACTGTGATATACGAGCTTAACATTATAAATATTCAAAATACCTTAGACATTTTTATAAGAGATTATAAAGAAAAACGATTTTCACTATTGTTACACAGCCATGAAAGATATATTTCTGTACTTAGAGACTTCACATTGTATGTCTATAATTCTCATCCTTCATTTAAAACATTGAGTATACATGTATTTGTCTTTTATATTTTTTTATTTGTCTTTAGATGTAGTGTATTTCTATCATTCCCCATGCACAAGTGATTCGGTTTGACATTTAGTATTGGTGAACAAGTCGACTAATCACCCTGTGTGTACAGGGGCATGTGAGGACTTAAGAAGCAATTCCCATCAGAGATCAAACGCGGTGTATTCAGGGACGTCATTGTTGAGGTATCATCGTATTATGATGTATGTGTCTTGTAAATCGTCTTATTTCTCGCTTTACCAGCAAAACAAAGTACTCAATCAGTCTGCTGGCACTTGTACCTCAAATATTGACCAAGCCATAACAAAGCCATGTTCTGGTCAATCCAAATAGCTGGACAGTGGTCACTTGAGCGAATGAGATCTCTCACCGAGGTAGCAAGAAAATCCGCTATGCTAATGCACCCCATGGTTTTTATTGGACAACGACAAAATTGACCGAAGTCGATCCACTGTGAGACGGCGAGTTCTGCCCGAACAATACTGTCAAAATAAACACGATTGTGATTTGGTTATTTTTATCCCGATAGCCAATATAACTTAACTTGTAACTTACGCAAGACGCTATACCGGTGTACAGGGATACTGTGACAATACATGTAATCTATCGCAATGCTATTGTCCTTGAGTTGAAATAACAGCATCTCTATGACTCCTCCTGTTGTGATACCCAATTTCGTCTAAATGAATTTATGCCCTCTAACCGAAGGCTGGAATTTGAAAAGCTTGGGTTTAGTTTATGGTATCCTCTTCCCAGTAACAAATAAAAATATTTGTTGAAAGACCAGCTAGCTCCGCCTCTGGAGTGATTGACGTGGAAAGGTGTGATCTCACGCTTGTGATTGGTCGTCGCGCTTGTGGGGTGGGGCTTACGTAGCCTGAGGTATTGATGGCTGGAGATGTTTGCAATTTATGTCAGACTGAAGCTAAAATGGAATACTTGGAGAAAAATTAGTGGAGAAATTTCATTGAAATACCCCGACTGACTCGTGTCAGCATCTACAGTTTGGTATCGGTGATCGGCAGGTGATGTTCTCTTCGTGTGCTTGCAGCATCTGATACTGTTGACACTGAACCATCAAGGCACTCGTACACCTGAAGTCGAAAGTGACAAGTGTATGTCTGTGATTTTTTAAAGTGTGTAATCAAGTCCCGTGACCACCATGCCACGGCCAGGCAGAAACAGTTATGATGAACAGAAACCGCCGTACTCGTACATTGCTCTGACAGCCATGGCTATTCAGAGTTCAGGCGAAAAAATGCTACCACTCAGTGACATCTACAAATTCATAATGGACAATTTCCCGTTTTACAGAAAGAACACTCAACGGTGGCAGAATTCTCTACGACACAACCTGTCTTTCAATGATTGCTTTATCAAGATACCCCGCCGCCCCGACCGCCCCGGCAAGGGAAGCTACTGGGCCCTTCATCCAAGTTGTGGAGATATGTTTGAAAACGGGAGTTTCTTAAGAAGAAGGAAACGGTTTAAACTCATGGGCAAACCGTTTTCAGCATCGACAGCGGAATCTATCAAGGCCGGGTTGGATACAGCAGCTTATCTACAAGAACAGGCAAGGATCCGCCTCCACCAGCTGGCCCCGGGGTCGAGATTTCAGCCCTATGGAATCACCCCCCACACTCAGCCACACAAACAATCGTTTAGGATTGAGAATATCATCGCACCCGAGTACAAAAGTTCGTCGTTGTTGCCGCAGTCGATTTTCCCACCCCCATTGCCGGCGTTTGCAAGTCAGTTTTCCTCCCTACCCCCCTCAAGTCTCATCACCCCCTACACGGGTGGGGATCTACCCGTGTCTCTTGCTGGAACATTTTCTTCCCTGTCCTCAAGTTTAGCTGCGAGGTACGGAAGTTTAGCAACAGACTATCAACTACTAAAAGCGGCCAGTCATGACTTTACTGTTCCCATCAAACCCTCACCTATCAACGCTCTGGCTCTTGCGGGACATCCCGCCGGTCATCCATCTGTACATGTTCCAGTGTCGGGGTAACCCTCTCCCCTCCGGCTTCAATCTCTAGTGTGGACAGTGTTTTACCCACCAGGGTAGCCATACCCCCATCAACTGTGTTATCATCCGGACCCGAGAGTTGATGAAATGTCTTGTCAACGAACTGGATCCAGTGCTATTGAAAGGCTGTGAATACCAGCCACTTGGCTAGTTTCAAACTCGCCATTTTGTGTTAGTAACAAAGAACTCAAGTGTGTTTATTGAAGGCCTGGACTGAAGCCATGTGGCAATGGTCGTATTTTGAGGTAAGACAGCGGTTTGTCTAACGTCTCTGCCGACAAACAAACACTTAAAATATTTCCTAGGTAACCACATGCGCAGAATTTCTGTCAGAAGTGATGCACTGGACAGTGTTGTTTAGGAGTAATTATTTTTTATTTGAATTTTGTAAACTGATGTTGTGGCAGTTTATGAAGACTTCATTTATGTTGGCAGTTTGATTATGCACAAATTGTCGTCGTTGCATTTATCTACATGATAACATTATGAATTAAATGTATTATCAGAAATCACATAATGTCTTCTTTTATTCATTTCATTATAAACCGTGATGCAAACATCTTACTTGGAAAATGGGTCCGAATTGTGGATTATCTTCCGTTCAAATTAATGTGTGATTTATTGTCCTTAAAATTTAATATATTTTTCTCATTTAGAGAATATACCAAGCTTCACAACAAATCATTACTCAGAAAAAAATATAAAATATTATTTTAGTGTACACTACTCAGTGTTTTGTATTAATAATACTTCTGTTCCATAGCAATAATGTTAAAAGTCTAAAAAATAGTGTATATATTTCATCATGATGAGTTTTGGTAAACAAACTACATACAGTCTCCAGCAGCATTGTATATATACATTTAATTGGAACCATATTAAGATAAATATGAAAATTTAACATGTATTACAAAAGAAAAATTAACATTTTATTTCTGAAATGTTATTGTAGTTTATAAAACCAATTTTTCTACCTTTTGTTAACTTTGAATACACAATGCCATTCAACTTCCCCCCTAAAATGTTAGGAATGGCACACCCACTGTCATAAAGCAAATGCACAGGAAACAGCATCTCAATATTTTTATATCTATTGTTGCCATTACTGAACCGGTTTTCAATGATTTTATCGATTGGATAATAAAACGGAGTGTAAAAATCTATTAAAAATCGGTAATATTTGTCAGGAAACTCGAAAAATATAAAATACAGAGCACAAGCGGGAGAAAATAATAACACTATTTGTCCTTAATTCGCCAATTTCCTCTTTTGGCTGATCCAACAAAGCAAGATGGCGGCCCTTTCAAATTGGGTCGGTAATATTTTGATTTTGTCACCGGCTTTTACAAATCTCCCAAGAAGCTGCGTTTACTCTCTCCCTCGGTCCTCATCCCTAACACACGTCTTTATTTTCCTCTGTTTGTTTAAGGTTGTAGGGGTGACGGACGGGAATCACTAACACCGCCCGGGGGTCGGGAAACACGGCCTCGCTATCCCGGGTCAATATTTCTATTTAACCAAGAATTACTTTATTTGTCGTTACTGTTTACCCAAATTAGATACATGATAATATCAAGCGTTGACGATCGGTAATGTCACATGGACTATTTGAGCAAATATTGTGAAAATTGATAGTGGAAAAGGCGGCAATGTGTAATTATATCAACCATACGGCGCGCGGAGGACAGACAGTTAAATCGGCTATGGTTTTATTACACATCATGTAGCCGGTGAGTTTTCAACAAAGTTGACTAATATGCCTGTTTCAACAAGCGGGCACGCTGGGCTCAGAGCGCTTCTATATTAGTAATTCAGGGTTTTACAAATTTATGGGACAATTTCTCGGATTTCGACTCTACCTCTGACAGTTTTAATGCATAATAAAAGTCAGGTCCTAGCTTATTACGATTTGACATTTCTGACAAACGATAAGCTTCCCGTCGCATGTAAATTTGCATTGAATCTCTTAATACTATTTTAACACTAACACACCATGTACAAGAATTAAGCGTATTTGTAAAATTATTTACTCATAATTCATAGCAAAGCCTATTTTTTTATCGTTGTTCGTTGTAAATCCCAGCTGCAATTTGATTTCAATTTTGAATCAGGACATATATATGTACCGTTATTAATATTCATTGTCTGATTTACATGGAGGTAAAGTTCACATTTCTGATCTATATTGTGGAACAAACCCAAACCCTGACAAACCTTGAATCAAAATTACTTGAAATACTTTCACTAGAGCGTAATAGTTAGTCATGCTTATCTGATAATAATTACAATGATAAATGTTTCCCTAAAATATTAATCACAGTTAAATATATCTAAATCATATAATATCAACTGAATATTTTGTATACTTTGTTTCAAACAAATGAGAAATATAACAATGTCAAAAACCATTTTCAGTATTTGGCAAAATTTATTATATCATTCCAAGATTTATAAACCGTTCATGTTAATATACAAATAGTGACGACAGATCGTATTGAAGATACAGTCATTTATTACCTTTTTCTAATTATCAATGTAAATGTATATCAAAACCATTTTCCCTTTATCAGTGAAACCAACACCATACAACCATTGGTATCTTTAATATCAATATATTACATAGATTACATAAAATCTCTGCTATAATTCTAAAGTCAAAACATTATCATCGTATATAGTGTCGATAAAATATATCTACTAATACAACCATGTTGGACTGTGTTGTTAAACAGATGAAAAAACGTACATTAGCTGTGGCCCTTTTTAAACTGTATCAATACATTCAACCAAAGGCGATGAAAAACAACACCGAGTCAAACACAAGATATACAGTTTGCTTTGATTTTAATAAAAACATCAACAATCGATTGCAGTCGACAGTAATCAAATAGCAACTAAGCACTTGATAGCACTGTAAACCTCCTTCAACAAATCACAAGACCTTGTAATGCTTCATTTTCACACCATTGCCGGAAGGGGCACCCTCCACCAGTCAGCTGTACAGTGTCAGGAGCTTGTAACATCAAGAAGGAATCACTACCCCTATAATTACCCTTGTATGGGGCTAAAGGACCCTGCTAGGAGCTTCAACTATTGAAAAGGGACAGTCACAAATCGTCTATTAGGGGTGCTGTTATTAGGTTGATCGACAATTTGATAAGCTAAGCGGTATGGTGGTAGAAATCAATTGTGGAGAAGACGTTCCCTGAGGCACGGCTAGTAATCGTCACAAGAAATGACTTTATCAATTGGTTCTCCAAAGAGATAATTTGATAACGACATTATTCACTTAGATGACACCGATACTGACATCCAGCGTTCTGGGAACTCGTCGACAGGTAATATACACGATCATGTTAGCTTATGCAACGGCCGTTGAAAGTGATCATATTTTGTATCCCGTTTCTATGTGTTACTTTAATGAAGAAACTGCATATTGTAAATTTATTGTACTAGGATCATGAGAAAATGTAAAATTAATAGTTTTATTAAACGCAACTCTTGCTTTATCAAAAATATACAACCTGACTTGACAAGTAATTTACGAATTTAATATAATTTGTCAATGACAAAATGATCATAAGAGCAGATCGTGCGGAAGAATAACGATTTGTTATGACTAAAAGTTGTGAGACATACTGATTTAAATGACTCAGAATAATTAAGGTTATGAAGATCAAATATTTTTTTATTAAAATGATGATAGGCCCAATATGAATTATGTGATTCGTCGATGTGGACGATAACCAACAATCACACCACAAAGGCAGGTGACCGTTTCGGTTTCCTGCGGTTTGATATTAAACAATCATGTACATCATCTAGTAATACACACCTAAATAAATCCAGTCACGTGGGTTTTAAAGCACGGTGTCTAATAAGTTACAGTTGATCCGCTTTAATTAATAAATATTTCAACCAACACTTGATTAAAATTTTCTTTATGAGATATATTATTTTAGATATATTTCTTCATGTATGTTATGTTTTGTAGTTTTAGCTGTATGATAGGTGTATATATTTATACGTTAGTTGTATCATGGGTGTTATATTTATACGAATAACTATTTGTATAAATCCCATGTTGCGAATGATATTGCGACTGGATATCAAAACTTTATTCAAAAATATACAAAGGTGGATATTTCCATCATAGAAAAAGAATATTTTGAAACTAAAAAAAAATATAGCGTGAATTTGTTTCCACAATGCATGTTCACTGAATTGTACAAAGCACAAAACATATGTTCATAAAATGTATTTCGATTATTTGCTATGGCCATGTCATCAGTGAAGCATATGATTAACTAGTAATGATATGAAACAGAGGTATTGTAAAGACCTGTTAACAACATCTATAGCCTGATTTCAATATGACGCTAAACGGTCTCCATAAACACTCAATACTGTAGACCACAAAGCTCCGTTTGGAAAGTGCTAGTGGTGTTTCTGTTTTGAACTCCCAGCCACCTACCTCACAACAAACAAACTGCATCTCTGTTTATGACAAAATGTGTATCATGTATGTGTGAGGCATTATACAATAAATGAAAGCGGGCCCCAGTATACTAGTATGTGCTTCCTTGATATCTTACCAACCTATTTCTTCACTTCTACAGTGCAATGAAATATTGCATTACCATTTATGGATATTGTGTGTAAGGAAGCCTGTACACATAAAATCAAACAAAAGTAATACATTTAAGAGGATAAACATAACGACCCTTAAATACACAAATGATATTTCGTGATATTTATATCTTGACATTTATAACCAGGAGATAAAAAATACTTTTGGGAAAATATTGAAAGAGGCATAAACAATCAAAACCTTTTTGAACATGATTAATTGTGAATACTAATAGACTTCTTTTGAGGAAATTAATTTTGAACCAAAATCTCCATTCACTGGTGCTGTCAGTTATCAAAAGTAACGAAATAAGCTGATATAGGTTACATACAGCGGGTTTGATTGTTTCAAAAGTGACCATCAGTGTCAGTGAGTGATAATGAATGTGTAACATTACCTTTGTTTAGCCTGGTTTCGTTGATGTTAAGGGCAACGGTACAGAACAACGGACAATAACCAATACACACAGGCGAATGATTAAAACGAGTAAAAAACGGTTAAACTAACAAGGCACAACAAATAAAATCTTGTTCATCAGCATTAGACTTTGGTAAAGTGCTGTTGAGATGCATGTTAGCACAAGTAATTAGGTAAAATGTTTGTCACAATGATCTTGAATCGATCCCAGAATAAAGCAAACAAATGGTCTCTGTGAATACTTCAGTATATTTTTATTACGCTCAATGGAGTGTAGTGCACCTATTCATGCTCTTATGAATGGTTAGGCCTCGCGCTATTTGTGAAAGTGTCATATTTGTGCAAGAGGACACTTACACAGATTACATTTAATTTTTTATCAAACAGGATGGCACATCCATGGTAATTAAGGTCCTATCCCGTTATATCTTTTTTTCTTTTTTTCATGAACGTTTAATGAATAAC